CCTATATATACAAATACAATCATGTATACTTGACGGACAAGTGATGATCTCTACAAATCAGGAATACAATCAAAATTAGATTTCAATATTAATTCATAAACCATAGGATAGAAGGTTTTCTAGGACAAGAATGACTCGACCACTAACTCAACAGGTAACACAAGATCGAAGATGGATGCGAAGAATATTTGAAACTGCTCCAAAAGGCAAGAAGTTTGGCCCGAACACACGTTTGTCGAATGAAAGGGACTGATAACATGATTGCCAAGTCACTTGATACAGACTCATTTGCGAGATTTAAGAAAGCCTTTTGAGAGGTGACAAGTTTGGATTGTAGAAGAAGATACTGTTGTTTAGATAGACCCTTTGTCAAGAGATCTGCAAGTTGATCCAAGGACGGATTGAAATGAACTTTGTGACTTGTGAGTGCCAAACTTAACACGTTCACAAACAAAATGATAATCAAACTCAATATGCTTTCTGCATACATGAAACATCAGGTTAACTGCAATGTACGTAGTATTGAAATTATAACAAAAAAATTAAGTGGGCAAAATTAATGAGTTTTGTTTATACCATATTTAGGGCCTCGTATTTAGACCTCGTATAAATACTCGAGGGACTTAAATGTAATTATGTAATAAAGGAAGGGGCAAATATGTAATTAGGGGAGGAGCCCTTATTCTATAAAAGGGCCACCTCACCCTCACAAACCCTAAGCCTCCTGACATCCCCTAAGCTCTAAGCTCTCTCTCCCACTTCAACAGAGAAATATAATACAATCAGTGTGGACGTAGCCCAAACTTTGGGGTGAACCACGATAACTCTTGTGTCATTTACATTTCATGCAGATTCACGGTCGGATTTACGTTGTACGAAGACCATCCGGTTTTGTGCACCAACATTTGGCGCCGTCTGTGGGAATCGATACGAAAAATTGTGTCGGTTCTCTTTCATTTTTTTCACCTCCATCGTGAATCTGTAAAATCACATAAACCCATAAACAGAAACAGATTCAAATCTCAAACACTCATCACAAGCCCATAGGGAAGATAAAGGTCGTTGCTTTCTGTGGAGCGACGGATAAGTGCCACGTGATCATGAGGATCCGGATTCTCATTCCTCGATCAAGGAGCGGAGGATAAGTGCCACGTGGGAGGGAGCACGCACCGGTGCAAGTTAACGACAACCAATGAAAACTTAAACGGAGAAATTGAGGAGAGAGGCGGACAATTTGAAGATCAATCTCCCCAACAACTGTGCTTAACCAAACACACCGCATGCTGGCGCTTCATTTTCTTCAGGCTCTCGATTTTGCCCCCAAAAAAACTTCTCTATAAAGTCCCGTCTCGTCCCGATTCCACCATTTCTGGTTCGTTCAAATCACCGGAAATCTCCCTCACCTGCATCTCCGGCTCCGCCTTCTTCTCGCTTCAGATATCCACCGAGCTCAAGATTCTGACCAACCTTCAGCCGCATGACAGCTGCGACGGCCTGGATCGGGAAGATGATGAAGAACTCGAGCGTTGAGATCAGATGGAAGCCACTGACTTGGTGCTCTCGGTATCTCATTGCGATCTGCCTCTCTTTCCATGGATAGAGAGAGAGATAGAAGAAAATGATGATCTGTCTATATGGTGGTGGTTGCAGGGTGGTTTGGTTCAAGAGAGATCTAATCTGAGGGTTGAAGATAACCCAGCTTTGACAGTTGCAGTAAGAGTGGGATCTGTAGTTGCTGAACCAGAAATAAAGGATGAGGAAGCGCCAAAGCTCAAGTTCCTCTCCGATGGCAAGATGGCCTCTTTCTCAGCCAATGACTACCACAACCCACCGCCTGCGCATTAAACCCCGAGCTGGGAGCTTGGTCGCGCTGACAGCGATGATAGCTCTCTCTCAACCTCTTCCAATCACATGCTGCAACGGCTCTCCAGCTCATTGTCGGCGTTCTAGAAGCTGAAAACCTCGAAACTGTCTTCTCCGGCCAATTTTCCGGCTCAACCTTCAAACCGATTGTATTGTTTGCCGTAGATGTTTGCATTAAAAAATCCAAGCAAGGCGTACACAGAGGTCCAGGGATGCGATTGTTATATTCAACTTCTCAATTATAAGCAGATCTGGCATTTTTCCCTCCACTTTCTTGGTTGAGCAGCAAGGAATAAACATGCAAAAGCGGGGACACTACTTGAAGCTGGGGTCATCCTGCAAAAGCTTCATTTCCGTCCATCATCTTGTCAAAAGAGAAAGCAAAAAGAAAGAAAAAGAATTGACACGAAAAGTTGATGGGCTCATGAAATACCGACAAAGCATTAACTTTGCAGCACCGACAAAGCATCAACAACATCACCTTTGCTTGTTAGACACTAGCCCACTATCTGCCAGCCCACAATCCCACTCTCCAAACCACAGAAGAAAAGTCTTCTTTTATTACAAGATGGTGGCCACATTTTCTTAAAGCAAGATAGTTTAAATAATTTTTATTATTATACTTATTCTGCAAATATTAGTTTGGAAGTGGGCCTTCCGTGCCTGACCCAAAAAACCAGTGGATGGGTTCATTACTCAGGATTCCACTTATTCTGCCTTACCATAAAGGAAGAGGAAAAAGAAAGAGGGCAGCACTGTTAGAAAAGTGGAGGTGTGATGATGGGTCGTCTGTGATGTATCTTTAAAGGCACAAAGAGAGTGAACATCACAAAAGAAGAGAAAGTGGAGAAAGCGAAGATATGCATGAGACATTATTTTTATTTTTTGCTGGTATATGTATTGTTATCACCATCTGTATCTCCGGTATCATACCCAGTAAAAAAAAAAAAACAAAACAAAACAAAAAAGCCCAAAATAAATGGGCTGGAATGTTGTGTAAAGGGCGAAGGCCCATAAGCCCAAAATAGCACCAACCAAGTGATCAAAAGTACGCCCAGTACTTCCAAAATTATTCGGCAACCCGCCGCTATTATCACCAACCATATGACCAAAAGTACGCCTAGTACTCCAAAAAATTATTCGGCAACCTGTTGCTATTACCACCAACCAGGTGATGAAATGTACAACCCGTACTCTAATATCATTTGGCAACTAGCCATTCATGCCACCAACCAGGTGATGAAATGTACAACCCGTACTCTCCTTCATGCCACCAACCAGGTGATCAAAAGTACGCCCAGTACTTCAAATCATACATGAGCATTACTCATGTCATTCATACATAAACATTCATGAGCATCACTCATGACAATCATACATTAACATTCATGAGCATCACTCATGACAACATACATGAGCATCACTCATGTCAATCAACATAAACATTCATGAGCATCACTCATGTCAAACAGCTTCAAAATATTCATTTACAGAGCTCTAGCTCCAAAAGCTTCATTTACAAAAACTCCAGCTTCGAAAACCTCATTTACAGAGCTCTAGCTACAAAGCTTCACTTGCAAAGCTTCACCTACAAAGCTTCAGTGCAGGGTATACAAATACCGCCTCTGACCAACCGCCACTTCGGCCCATACATGGATTCAATTTGAAGTCTCCAGCCAACAGACTCTATTGACCGAAGACTTGGGGGACTACATTATGTACCATATATTGGGCCTCAACTGGGCCTCATGAAAAATACAAAATACTTGGGGAACTCTAGCCCATCACTTATGTATTGATGAGCGAGCCTTTATTTTATAAAAGGGACTCCCTCACTTTCATTAGATTGCACTTATGAAAGATACTTGGGGGACTTAGCCCATTATTTATGTATTAAGAAGCGAACCCTTATACTATAAAAGGGACTCACTCACTTTCATTAGAGAGCACCCATTATTCATGTACTGAGGAGCGATCCCTTATTTTATAAAAGGGACTCCCTCACCACCATTAGAGAGTATCGCCGCCTACTGAGCAACCGCCTCGCCGCGAGCATCAACTCTAGCTCATCATTTATGTATTGAGGAACGAGCCCTTATTCTATAAAAGGGACTCCCTCACCATCATTAGAGAGCATCAACTCTAGCCCATCATTTATGTATTGAGGAACGAGCCCTTATTCTATAAAAGGGACTCCCTCACCATCATTAGAGAGCATCAACTCTAGCCCATCATTCATGTATTGAGGAGCGAGCCCTTATTCTATAAAAGGGACTCCCTCACCTTCAAACGCCACAAGCCGAGCCAACCAAGGCAACATAAGCCACAAGCCGAGCAGTCTCGCAGTATGTGCTACTTCTGGTTTAACATCATTTCAGATTGAACACCGCCTTACATCGAACATCAGTTCAAGACAACATCTAGTTACTTCGGCCCACACATGGACTGAATTTCAAGTCTCCAGCCAAAAGACTCTCTTGACTGAAGACTTGGGGGACTACTGTTTATACCATATTTAGGGCCTCGTATTTAGACCTCGTATAAATACTCGAGGGACTTAAATGTAATTATGTAATAAAGGAAGGGGCAAATATGTAATTAGGGGAGGAGCCCTTATTCTATAAAAGGGCCTCCTCACCCTCACAAACCCTAAGCCTCCTGACATCCCCTAAGCTCTAAGCTCTCTCTCCCACTTCAACAGAGAAATATAATACAATCAGTGTGGACGTAGCCCAAACTTTGGGGTGAACCACGATAACTCTTGTGTCATTTACATTTCATGCAGATTCACGGTCGGATTTACGTTGTACGAAGACCATCCGGTTTTGTGCATCAACAAGTTTCTTGTTTTACTTTATAAAATAAGATAACGTAGAACACAAAATGAAAGCACCAAAAGTAAAATCACACAGTAACAGTTGTTAGTTATGGGAGGAAGGTGAGACTTTTTTTAAAGCAACAGGCACATAAACAAAACCTTGGTTTTTTACTAGCCATCAGTTTAAGATTCTATAAGATACTTCATGTTTGGATAGAATGACTGCTATGACAAATAGCCACGTAGTACTATACAAACCACCAGGACTTTTGAGTGGTATTCATGCCATTCGTTCACCACAACTGGCCATTATTTAATCCTCCAAACGGGCAAAATGTTTCAATCATTCACAAAAAACCCTCCAACCAAACGGAGAACAACCAATTAATCCAGACATGGGAGTACTAATAAGAACGCTTCCTCTGAGCTCTCCGCATAGAAATTTTGCTTCTAATTTTGGAGCTGCAGAGAGATTGCCAAACAGTAAATTCATCAGCAGGAGCTCCCCCTCTCAGTTTAGAGTGCTGGCCAAAACAGAGAAGGGGGAGAAGGAGGAAGAACCAAAGAAGGAAACCAAACAGTCTTTCTTCAGCAGTGTGACAGAAGCACTTGATTTTTCTCAGACCAGGTCTGCAGAGGATGCTGTGCTTATTGAAGAAGCTAGGGATGCCACTAAATCTGGAGAGAGAATGTCCAGACAACAGGTAATCACTTTGAACTCATGACCTCCTTCGATTTTCGTCTCAACTTTCAATTTGGTTTTGAATTCTTTAATTTTTTTGTAACGTGCCAATTTGCCCCTACCGTCACATTTATCACATTTTATTTTAGTTTCTATCATTTGAACGGCAAATTGGCGCATTCAACGAAATTAAGAAGCTCATTACCAAATTGAAAAATTAGGGGCAAATTCGAATAACACATTAAGTTTAGGATGAATTTTTATTTTTTATATATTAATTAAACCAAATGCTTATGTGAGTTTGCTGATAGATTTTTCTTATTTTCATGCAGTATGGGGCTTTGAGAAGGAAAATTGGAGGGACATACAAGGATTTCTTCAAAGACTATGTTGAGGGTATGTAGCATTAGCAATTTCAAACATCCATATATTTTCTACGAAGAAATTTAGAAAAATACACACAAATAAATCAGATTACAAGCTTTTGATTAGACGAGAATTAGAAGGACAATAAACAGATAATAAAGCTACTATAAACCTTAGTCTATATACGACTTATTGTATGTTTAGCGTGTCTAAATTCTACTTTTATTAAAAGGTTGTAGCCAGTTCATATGCGTGCTTCATCATATTTTTTGTCTTCGTTGATGCTTTTTGGTTTTTCTCTTCACGGGTTTTGGCTTCGTCCTCCCGTTTGTATTCCTTTCTTTTTGCTTTTCTTTATTTAATAGATTTTGGAGATAGGGGACTGGGCCATCATTCAGGGAGTTAGCCAATTTTAATCGCTCTTAGCAGGAAAAAAGTAGTCTACTTGTAGGGATTAGAACGGGAAGGAAGCAGCCTACTTGTAGTTGATGGCTAATCCTAGGGCCTTGGTTCTTTCTTTCCACCTTGTGCGGGTTTAGAGGGTAAGACTTCTACTATTGCAGTCCGACGACCAAACCTTATGTAGTCTGACTCGCCTATCCATTATCATTCTTTCAATAATAAAAATTATTGAAATGATTTTCCTAATTTGGATAATTGTTCTTGACTTGGTACCAGTGGATGGGCAATATGTGGAGGATGGCTGGGTGGACAAGACGTGCAAGGTTTGCAAGAAAGACACGGGTGGCGAGGCCAGGCAAGTGGACAAGCTTGGAAGATATGTTCATGTGGCCTGTTTGGAGAAATCAAAATCCGGCAACTTTTTCACCAGACTTTTCTCCGGATGATTTGTCAAGGGATAATTAGGCTCAGCACTTTGCTCTGTACATCTCAGAGATATGCCAGAGAACGCCGAAACTGGCGATGTGGTGTCGTTTTCATATACAAAAATATATTATTTCAGTGCTGGATATATAGAAGATTTGAGGACTTCTGTTTCAATTTGTTTAACTGTGATTTATGGCCATTTATAAATGAAATTATGCAGCTATGTAACAGTTTAAGAACCAAATGGATACGTATATGGGTAGCACGACCAACCAAACCTAAATATGTACGTTCGACCAAGAAAACCTAACTAGGTATATATTACCTACGTTTTACATTCGTTAATTCTTGGATTTAACTGCGGCTTAGGCCATGCATAGTGGGACTGTCGGAACTCTAGGTTTCCGAGTTGCATGATTTAGGGCCTCAAAAATACATTTGAGGATTTAGGGAAGTTTTAGGTTTTTAGTAGTTTAGGTTTTCCTGGTTTGAGTTGGAAAATCTAAACTACTAAAAACCGAAAAGGAAAACTTTTACCAACAAAAATGGAAAAGTTTTCGGTTTTTAGTAGTCCTCAATATTTTATTTTGTCAGCTCAGTCTCAATATTACAGTACGAAACTTTTCCCTTTTTGTTAGTAAGGTTTAATATTATATAATGCGTAGTTTAGAGTTGTCTTTGCAAATTAGTAAGGTTTGATGTTATATTTTCATTCAATCTTTGCAATGGCCGGTAATTTTCTACTGTTTTGTCTCGTCTTCTTCGTGGCGCTTTCGACAGCGTTTGGTTCTCCGATTGGAGTATGCTACGGAATGCTAGGCAATGACTTGCCACCACCAAGGGAAGTAATTTCCGTGTACAAATCCAACAAAATCGAAAGAATGAGACTACGTATGATCCTAACCAGGAACCGCTCGAGGCCCTTCGTAATTCTGACATTGAAGTCCTAGTCGGAGTTGGTAATGAGGAACTTCAACAACTTGCAAGTACTGAATCCGCCGCTGAGGACTGGGTAGAAACGTACAATAGGCCTTATTCACCGCAAGTCAATTTTCGATACATAGCCGTAGGCAACGAGGTCGTCCCGGAAGAGGTTGCAAAATACATCCTCCCAGCAATGCCAAACTTGCACAATGCATCGAGCTCCGGGGGTCTTGACTCTATTTAGCAAATAAAGGTCTCGACGGCAGTTGCAACGTCGGTACTGGGTGAGTCTTACCCTCCATCGGCTGCAAAATTTTCTCAAGACACCGCGTAGTACATGGTTCCGATCGCACAATACTTCGTTGGGGCACCATTGCTAGCCAATGTGTACCCTTAGTTTACCTACATTGAAAACCCTAGAGATGTTTCACTGCTGCCTTATGCATTGTTCGCTTCAGAAAGCGTTGTTGTTACAGATGATGGTCTGAGTTATGACAACCAGTTTGATGCCATGGTGGATCATTTTATGCATCCTTGCAGGAAGCAGGGGCACCCCAAGTTCAAGTTGCGGTGTCCGAGAGGGGCTGGCCCTCCGACGGGAATGGGAACCTGACAACGCCAAGCATTGCGCAAAAATACAACTCTAACCTAATGAGGCACGTGCTGTCGTCTCATGGCACTCCAAGGCGGGCGGAAAAGTCCATCGAGACTTACTTGTTTGCCATGTTTAACGAGAACATGAAACCCGGTGAAGCAGTGATGCGTAAAATTACTTGACACACAAATTAAACCCTCTTTTTGACAATTGTAGTATAGATGTAAGTAGGGTATCGTTCTAGGCCGGGGATTAGGAGGGATTGCTAATCTATTCTAAATTAATTTAAAAATATTAAATAAGACTCAAGGACACAAAATTAGGCTAAAAACTCTAATAACTCGAAACACACTTAAAATGACTCAAAATAATGAAAACAATTAAATTAAACACTAGGAACTGAAATGGACGGAAATTAAATTAAAAGACTAACAATAAAGAAAACTAACTAAATAATATAATTTAATAATGGATGGGTGTTTGGTTTTGATGAAAAGTAAATTAAACTTAATTAAATTACAGAATTGATAAAAACATAAAATTAAGGTAAAATGATAAATGACGGACTAGCTAGAGGGTTCTTCTCCACACATGTTATACTTGCATACAAAATGATTTCCAGTTGTTCATTTAATAAATTGTGAATCTCAATACTCCAGATTAACCGTGAACAGCACTTTTTTAATCTTCAAGTTTTCCTTAAGTTATTGAATTGGACGGGAAAACGCATACAGCAATTCTTTTCTTTAGATTTATAAGAACTCAAGCTCTCCAACGATTCTTCTTAAACCTCCAACCACACCCTTAAACTGAAAATTAAACAACTTTAAAAACATTTTTTTTTTTCTTTTCTTTTCTTTTCTTCGTATACAATCTTTCTTTTTCTTTTTTTTTATTTTTTTTTATACAAACATGAAATACCCCCACACTTATTTTTTTGCCAAACACCTTCAAAGTACTTTACAAACATTTCTCATAAGACAATCTCGCATTGCTCGCTTGGAAAGGGTAAGGAAAAAATGTTTCAGGTGTAAGGGTAGACATATCTGGTGATAAGAAATAAAAGGTTCAACATACACGGCTCAAATTGGCAATCTAATGATATCATTTTTCTTTGGGAAACATGGTTATTTGGGCCATGGTGGTAAACCTAATGCCTCTATCATTTCCAAGTTCATGCAATCAATGATAAACATTTCGAAAGATCGTTACGCAAGTTCTAGAGATATATCTCACATAAGTTCATCACACATGAAAGAATAGGAGTGTATGAAAAATGCACACACTTTCAATAGGCTCAAAAACTCACATGGGATGTATATGGTCACTAAATTCACATATGAAGCTTTAAGTCATGCTTTAGTTTCACATCAACAAGGCTATGTGCATTTGGTTTTTCAAAGATGATCAAACATATACAAAACTAACAAGAGAATTAGGAACTTCATAAAACATATGTTAACTAAGTTCTTGATGATCATGATTCAAATTTGATCTAATTATATCATTGGGTCGGGAAACTAACAAAAATCTAATTCAAAACAATAAGGGAAACAAGACAATATTTTTGGATTTTTTAAATTTTCCGATTTTTTTTTTTTTTTTTTATAGAGAAAACAAAACTAAAAAAAATTAAAAAATAAAAAGCAACAACACAGAAACAAATGAAATTCTAGAGATTTCTACCCCCACACTTAAACTTGACATTGTCCCCAATGTCAGAAAACACTATAATGCAAAAATAAATAAAATAAACAAAATAATAAAAAAAACAAAATAAAGCAATTGGACTGAAAACTTCCCTAATTTGCAGTAAAATCAAGCGATGACCCTCAAGCTAAAATTCTGCAATCAACTTCAAGGGTGGAAATAACCAAAAGTTCCTGCAAAGAAAAGGAAAAATTCAGTTAAGTACGCAAGAAAATTAATTAAAAAAAATATTGCAAACGAAAAATTGAAAATTACGATAAAAGATAATGAATAAAACTAATAAATAATCATTGGTCGTGCTTGTTGACTTTCCACAGCTTTCCTCTTGAACAGGGTGACACTTAGCTTTTTACTTGCAAGTGATGATTTGATGATATTGTACGGCGAAGCTTTGCTCTTTGGTTATGTTGCAGTTCCTTATTTGTTCTCCAAGCAGATGTGGCAGCTTCTCTAGTTCCTCAGTTCGGACTCCTTCCGCTGGGATGATTGTGCAAGCTGCATTCTTCTCTGCTTGTTTCTTCTGCACAACGGGCAGGCACGAGGGAAAGGTGTTGGTCCTTATTTCTTTCTTCAATCTTTCCAAGTGCCCACCTCTTGCTTTCTTTCTCCTTGTCCCTAGCTGAATTGTCTCCACATGCTTCGAGGTATCATTTTCACTTCCCTTACTGTCCCCCAGGCAGATGTGGTAGACGAAGAGAAAGCATAAAATGAAGAAGATGAGTACTCGAGAGCAAGGCTAGGTAAGCAATCAGGAAAGGGTTCCAGGCAGTTGGCTCCAGATTGGAAGATTGATACCAAATGCTGGCTGATTGCTCTCTTTCTCCTTGTCGGAAAACAAAGACAAGGAGAAGGACATGGAGAAAGCATGATATGAGATACTCTTGCTTTCAACCTTTATGATATGAAATACTTTTGCTTTGAATAGGTTGTTCGCAGGAGTATCCCAAGGAATGAGGAACACAGAGTGACTCGAGAGGATTCTTTGGGAATGCATTTTCGGAGATGAAGAGGTGCTGAGAGGGTGTGCTGAGAGAGTGTGCTTTTGCTGTGGAAGGCGAAGGTAGAAACTTATAGGACTTGTCTTCACAACCGGAACTGTTCTCTCACTTAGTGTCGGCAGCCGGTGGATGGGTGAAGAATACAAATTACGCGCTTTCTGACAAAGCTGCCCGTAATTTCCGCAAAGCTGATTCCTCATTGATATCTGTAATCGGCGCTTCGAGCTCTGAGCATCGTCGATTGTAGAGGTAGCATGTGACACGTGCGGATAAATCTGGAAAAGAAGATTTTCCCGTGGGTTGAAGCCCAGCTTTTGAGAAAGCTAGCGTGTCTTTGACTGTTGAATTTCCCTCTTCGATTTCTGAATTGGTGCTTCGACAAATTGCCCGAGATTTCCGCAAAGCAATTTGCGTGTGACAAGTGACGACACGTCTGGACAAATTGATCTTTTGAAATCCGGGGTTCGGCTCGTGGTTTCTGAGCAAGCCCAGCCTTTAAGAAATGAAACGCCTCTTTTGAGAAAAGAATCCGGCTTTTGAGAAAGGAAACTCCTCTTTTGAGAAAAGAATCAGACGTTTTGAGAACGGAGCCCCGACTCTTCGATTTGCGAGAGGACGCTTCTCTGAGGAGCGCCTCTTTGATTTCTTCCTTTTTATAGAGACGTTAAGCTTGTTCCACAACACACTTGAGTACCCTCCCGTAAACACTCCCTTCTTGCACTTGTTTAATCTTGATCATTCCGACTCTCTTCTTGTCTTTACCACCTCTGAAAAATGTCTGGCCCTTCTGATCGTCGTTTTGACTTGAACATTGGTGAAGAGGCAGCTCCGCCTTCACCAGACAACATATGGCGGCCATCCTTCATATCCCTACCGGTCCCCTTACCGTGGGGGATTCGATGATGAAAAATGACATGACCGCTGCGGTGGTGGCCCGAAACCTTGTCACTCCCAGA